ACAATTATAGGTGTGAGCCACTGATGTCCAGCTTCCAACTAGGAACTTCAATGTTGTTCTGATCACCTGGGAACCGTCTAAAATGTGCCTGACTGGGGACTGGAGGTATAGCTCAAGCAGTAGAGCGCCTGTTTTGCAAGCCTGAAGCCCTGAGTTCAAACCCCAGTCAAAAAATACAAATAAAAATGAAAAAATAAAATGTGCCTGATGTGTATTCTGATTAATAGGGCATGGGTGGGGCCTGAGTTGTTGCTTTACCTCCCAGTAGGTGTAGGTGCTGCCACAGTGCACACATACTCGGTCATACCTGGAGAAGAGGTCAAAGGCCCCTCCTCAGGAGCTCAGCCTGGATCAGCCAGCAGACAGGGCTGAAGTCCAGGCCATGGGAGGACCCTTCTGTCCATTGAGGCAGTGTGGCGGAACTTATACTGGGCAGAATATGCCTTGATATTGCCAGAGACAGGAGGGGGACCGAACTCACATCAAAGGAAAGTGCCCCTTCTCCCATCAAAAAACACATCTGGGTCCAGACCCTGAAGGACACAGCAGCCTCAGGACGCCATCTGCCCATCCCTGGGGCTAAAGATCAAGAGGTGCCTGGGACCTACTGCTCCCGATGGGCTGCATGGGGTGGGCCATTATATGGGGGAGAAGCAGAGGTTTTAGGACCTGGACAGAGAGGTGGCAAGGCCTTGGCCCTGGAGTCACCCATGCTAACTGCTGAAGACTGGCCTGTGTGGCCCGAGCCATGTGGCATGTGGATGGGAGACTCAGACAAACAAGTTGAATTCCACGTTGGGTTCAGTGGGGAAAGGGGCCACCTCAGAGCAGAACACTGGGGCTCAGAGTCCTTGAGAGGGAAGGGTCCTCTCACCATTGTCCTTTCATCCACAGTAGAAGGAAGAGCCCAGGAGGGACTGGCAGGGGTTAGAGGACTTTAGGGCAGTTGCATGTGACCAAACAACTCTCAGGAGACAAAGGGCCAGGCTGACCAGAGTGCAGAAGGGTAGGGCCTAGGCTCTAGCTTCCTGTGAAACCCCTTCCCATATCCTCATCTACGAGGGACCCTGAGGCTGCTTTGCTCCTACCACTGGCTCTGTACTGGGGGTCTGGGAGTGGAAGGAGGCGTGGGGTGGGCAGGGGCAGAGGTGGCCTGATTGGGGTCAGTGTGGGAGGGGGATGCTAGGTGCAAGGGGGTAAGAGCCCCACTAAAAATAGCCTCCTCTCTCATCCCCAGCTCCTTTCTTCTTCTGAAAATGTGCCCACACCCGCCTCCCCCTTTGAAGGGACAGATGTCAGGGGGAAAAAGCTGATTATTGTCAAAGGCTGGAGGCTGTGACCGGAGCTCTCGGTGAGCGTGACCCAATTCCAAGCTATTCTCAGCCTGGTGGGAGCAGAGTTATTCCCTTCCGCCAACAATCCTGCCTTGGAGGCAGCCTGACTTTGAAACGCCCTCGTCCCAGCACCCGGCTTACACAGACACTCACGCGGGAAGGCCAGGCTACCATTCAGGCAAGACCAGCCGCAGCCCCATAGTTCCTGCTTGCTGACAATCCTCTGCAGAGCCCACTGCCCAAACTGGCCAGGCCAGACCCCCCTGGCTCTACCCAAAGGCTCTGCAGCCAACACACCAGCTCTGAACCTCTTTACCACGCCTGCCTGGCTACCATGGGAAATGACTTCTGAGGCTGCACTCCAAGGTCAGGAAAGGTCAGGAAGGCCATGTCCTTTCACCCTCCCGGCACCCCTCCCCAGGCCTCCGGCGTGCACTTCTCCCCACACTGCAGGCTCTCTGCACCCTTGACTCAAGGTCAGGCATGGGATATGCTCTGACCAGCAGAGTAACACAATGCAGCCAAAGGCTTGAAAAGTGCCCGTGCAACCAGGCTGGGCCCTACTGCGTCTGAGCTCATGACGCAGGCCACAGATCCCAGGGGAGAAGAGGCAGTGAGTAGCGCCAGGCCCACATCAGCTCAGCTCCACAGAATAAGCCCAGCTGAGACTGCCCAAATGCAGCCAAGTTGCAGATCTGGGAGAACAGACTGGCCCAAGTTGTGGAATTATCTGATACGGCATGTCTATGGTATTGGTTAAGTGACACATCCACCTGGTAAGTTGTGGAGGTCAGGTGAGGTGAGACCTATCCAGGCCCAGCCCAAGCAGAGTTCTTAGTTGCTGGTTCCAGTCCACAAGTAACCATAAGCAGAGACCTGGGTTTCCAGAAAATTCTTTTGTTGTTGTTTTTGGCGGCACTGGGGTTTGAACTTGGCCTCATGCTTGCTAGGCAGGCGCTCTTACTGCTTGATCCACTCCACCAGTCTCCCCTGCCCTTTTGACTGAGGTTTGAACTCAGAACTTCGTGAATGGGTCACATCTCAGTCCATTTGGCTCTGGTTATTTTGGAGATGGCGTCTTGATGCTCCCAGTAGGAACAATAATTACAAAGGCATTTTGTGAGTTGAAGGTCCTGACCACTGACAGACAGAACCTCAGGGCTTGGGATGAGGCAGTCTCATCCTGAGGGAAGCAACTCACCACCAGCTCTGAGCTGGGGGCACCAGAGGTTAAGCCTCATGGTGCCCAAATGCTCCTGAGGATAGGCTGCCTGCAGGAGCTCCACTGCCCTCAGGATCAAGTCTAAATTCCTGGCCCCTCTGTGAACCTGGGGCCCCTTCCTTGAAGACCCTCCTGACCCTGACCCACATCAGTCAAGCCCCTGCTCTGCTGCATTGGCCTCGTCTCCCTCATGTGTGCCCAGCTCTTAGGAGCCCCTCTAGGCAACCCCAGCTGCCCTGCATGAGTCCTCATGCCCAAAGATTCTGGAATATGGCAGGTACTCAAACTATACCTGGTGGATGGAGCCCCCCTAGGCTGGTGGGGGAACAGCCATGAGAAATGGGCAGACATACCCTGCCACACTCCCACCTGGAGAGAGATGCCTCCCTGGGGACCCTCTCACCAGACCTACCAGGCAGCAGGGACACACCCAGGCTGGCATGCATTCACAGCTCCTGCTTAAAGCAGCCCCTTTGGCTTGTGATGTGCAGTCAGGGGTGGGCAGAGGCAGGGGGCCCAAGACCAGTGGTCCCCACTCTAGTCGTTTCTCTGCCTGTGTAGCAGGCCACAATGGGATACAGGAACTGTCTCTCAGGGATTGGGGTCCCCTGGTAGCCTACCTGCTCCCAAGCACACAGGCCAGGCTGAGGTTGCAGAGGCCATAAAATAAGAGAGGAAGGTGAAATGGCAGCACCAAAGGAAGACCCCAAGAGACCTACAGCAGGTAAGGGGCAGGGGTACCCTCCAGTGGCCTGGCATACCTTGTATCACCGAGTCCCAGCCGGTTCTCTGGGCCCTTATTGAGATAGGGCCCTCAGAGGCAGGTAAGGGTTGGCTGTCTGGAGGCCTAGAAGCAGCTCATGGGGGAAGGAAGATGGAAAGAGGGAACTATGCCCACAGAGGTGGACCCCTCCTACCCCTAGGGCAGCTAAGCCAGGGTGTACAACTGGGGTGGACAGGGCCTTCCAGCTCTTGGCACTGGGAGCTGGGAGCTGGGCTGCCTAGGAGCCAAGTGTGCTCCTGGTCATGCAGGCAAGAGAGTGGTACAGCAGCAGGCTAGGTGGAAGAACTTCCAGGGAAAATCTGAGGGCCAGAGTCTAGTGTGAGCTGGTCAGGGAGTTTCCCTTATCTTATCCTCTGATGAGTCCTAAGTTGCTGACTGGAGGAGGTGACTGTCAGAGACCTGCTGATGGGTCACCAGCTGTGGTTCCAGTATTGCCTCTGTGTTGGGCTCTTTTTGCAGAACCAGAATGCCACATGGCCTCCACTCCTCAGCAACATGGGATGGTCAGTGTGGGATGTAGACAGAGGATGACTACAGAGGACCCTCCTGCCTGGACATGGGCAGGCCTGGGAAAGCAACACTGAGAAAGGGGCACTTGAGCAGGACCTTAGATACACAGGGGTTCACTGCAGGCTCAGGGGAGGGGAACTCCAGCTAAGCAAACAGGACAGAGAGATGGCATAGTAGAGTAGTATAAAGTTGAGCTGTATGTAGAGGCAGCCGGGGTAGGGAGAACTTCCAAGCCATAGGAAAGGAGGCCATAGGGCTTATGTGCAGGGCTTGGTAGAATAGCTGAGGGGCTGGAGCAGGCAGGAAGCCAGGATTCAGCTGCAGCTGTCCAATGGGACAGGTAGGCTGGGCCGTGCCTCTTCATAGGCCCTGGCAACTAACCCAGGGCTTTCAGCTTCAATGAGCCCCACTCTGGAAAATGGGCATGACCTGGGCCCTGCAGCTCCTGAGACCTGTGTGCTCTGCAACCATGCAGAGCTCCACCCAAATGAGATACCCATCTCCTGACCCTTACTTGTTGTACAGGCCTTTCCTTAAGGATAGGAAGCCCAGGTTAGATAGGGCTGGAGCAGTCTTGGGGCAACAGGGCACCTTAAGTGTGCATGGTTCATCCAGTTCCTGGCTCTCTCAGACTCCTTAACATTGGGGTCACCTATGTTCAGGTTAAATCTGGCCAGGAGACCCCTCTGTCCCCAAGCTAAGCATGAGATTAGAGGTCAGATCAGGTCCTAGAAAAAGGAATTAACCCCCAGAATCAGGGCTAGTGGTTCTTAGGACCCTGAGTAACTGAAGGGACACAGGCCTCCCAGGCTATGGAAGCTTCAGCCAGAAGTAACCTACAGTGACGTTCCACAGGGACCAGGCAGAATGGGATGCCACCACCAGGAAGGCCGGGTGGATCCTTCAGGGGAGCATGGGAGGGAACCCAGGACATGGGCCATGGAAGGCTGGCACTCTAAGAGAAAAAGACACTACCCTCCAACTCCAGAGACAAGGGGCCCTTTCTGGAGCTGGATGGGGGTGGCCACACACTCATTCCTTTGTTCACTGAATCCCAGGCCACTGTCCTGGAGTTTGGAGCCCCCGCTGCACCTACCCCAGGATGGAGAGAAAGGAGGAAGGAGGAGGGGGTCAAGTGTGGGGTGGCCTGGCTCCTTGGGCAGCTGAGGAGAGCAGTCAGCACAGCAGGGCAGCACGTTTATTGCTGTCAGGCACATGGGTGTCGGTCCATGGCAGTACGACATAGCAGACTCCTGATGGCTGCTCCTGAGCTCCAGCGGCAGCTATAGGACATCCCCATGGCCTGACCCGGGCGCTGGGTTTTCCTTATGCTAGTTACCAGGCCGAAGGCTACACAGCAGGCAGCTGCCCAATGCCCTCTTAGGAAATGCCCCCTCAAGCCTTCAAGAGATGATGACAAAAGTGCTGTCTAGGATGCACCTCCCAACCCAATACCAACTGTCCCTGTAGAGGGGCTTCCATCACCACCCCAGAGGCCCCATGAGGGACAGGGAGGTCTGGTGCTGTACAGGCTGGGGCTCAAGCCCGGCCCCAACATGGAGCCATCAGGTCACTGCAAGCACATACCCATCCTGCTGGGCTTCCTCTATGAGATGTAGCATCATCTCAGACTCTTAACGGTCTGAGGGTTCTGGCTGGGCAGCAGCTGCACCCTGCCTTGTGGACAAGAGAGGCCACCAAAGGTCTGGGTGCAGGGACATTCACACATGGCCTATGCAACACCCTAGGCGGTGGGGTCACCTTCCAAGGAGGCTAGGCCAAAGCAGGGCTCTCTGGGTCAGCTCACCCATGGCTTCTGGCCAAGCCTGGGGACCACTAGTACCTGGAGCTTTGGCACAGAGATACGATAGTCCCCAGTGCAGGCCTCGGGCACAGTGCCCCTATCCTCGTCCACCCTCACCCTGTGTCCCTTGGCCTCAATACCCAGGAGAGTCTGTGGCAGTAGAGATTTCATGTTGGCAACAAACAGCAGCTAGGCCAGAGCCTGAGCTCAGCAGTGACGCAGGCAGATGGGAATGGCCACTGCTCTTCACCAGGACCACCCCTCCTAGCCCTCCCTTTCAGCACCCAGAAGGCCCTAAGGCCCACCCTACTGTCTGTTTCTAAACACAAACCCCAGCAGGCATCTGCTGACCATATAAGGCAGCCTCTGGTCTCACTGTCTGCAGGGGATGCTCCCAGATCCCTGGTGCTCCTGCCCAGGCCCACTAGCCTGGGGTCTTGGTGGCAAAAGTCAGGTAGCCAGTGTGGCCCACGGCCTCTTTCATGGGTGTGCCGCTGCGGAAGGGGCTGGCTTCGGGGCTCCCAAGGACGCCTGTGCTGGCCCCCAGGTCATTGGCCCCCAGGTCAGGCAAGGGGAGGCTGACAGTGCGCACGTTGTAGACCTGTGGCAGCACCTCCAGGGTGCTCACCTCTGTGAAGCCTCGGGCTGCCAGTGCCTGACATGTACGCTGGACCTGCTCGATGCACGGTGAGAAGGAGCAGAAGCGCCCACCTATGGGGAGGAGGACTTACAATTAGAGGATGGGAGCCACTGGAACCCATGGAGACCCACTCTGAGGCCTGAGGGTGACCTGAGACTCCCTGCACAGAAGCCTTTTGCCCCCCACCTGTGGACCCACCCTGGGGCAGATGCGTCTGTACACCAGCCCAGCTCAGTCACCCCTTCCAAGCCTGAAATGCCCACAACTCACTGGCCACCAACAGGCACTGTCATCTTCCTCCCAGGAGGCAACAGAAGGCTGGGACCAGGGCGGGGCCAGGCCAGCACAGCTGTCAGAGCCGGGCCCAAGAATAGCTTTAACAATAGGGCAGCATGGGGAGGTGCGTGGGCCAAGGCTGTCATAGGAAATTAGAGGCTGTCGCTGGCTCCTGGGAACAGGAGGCGCTCACCCCAGCACAGTCTGAGCCACTCCCTGTGTCGCCCACCAGGGCAGCCCACAGGCTTCACTCAGCTTACCCAGAGTGGGTGAAAGTCCACTCCATGTCCCCATCCTGGCAGGGGACCATGGGGGAACCCAGGGCAGGGTGTCTGTGGCCTGGTCAAGTACACAAAAGTTCCTAGGCCTGGTGCCTTCAGCTACAACCCGACAGAGGGCTGTGGGAGGTCTATGGTAGGAGGAGCTGCCAACAGCTTAAGGCCAATCCACAGGGCACAGTGTCACAAATGAGGCAGAGCACACTACACACCTTGCTGCCAGAGGCCTCAGAAAAGTGTGCCTTTGGAAAACACCAGAGCCCCAGGACTCAGAAAACAGATCCAGGTAAAGAACCCAGAGAAGGGAGACCTGGACAGGGGAGGGGACAACAGATGGGTACAGATGCCCCAAGTCACTACTGAGCGAAGACCTGAGGGACTCTGCCTACCTAGGCCTGGAGCCTGGGCCCACCTGGGCCCCTGCAGCAGGGGACCTACAGGTTACAGGGCAAAGCTGGAGGGGTAAAGGTGTGTTGATATCATGGGCCCTGGGTGGAACCATGAGCTGTACCCCTCCTCAGTCCCAGGCCACAGCAGCAAAGACTAGGAACAGGGGACCAGGGCAGAGCCTGAGCAGGCCTCAGCTGCTGTCTTGGAGGCAGCCATTCTGCCCTTCTGCCTCCCCACCCTCTGCACTATGCTCTCAGTTGGGGGGTGGGGGAACGGCCCTGGCTGCCAAGCCAGCTCCTTCTCCAGAAAAGGCAAAATCAATGGGACTTACCAACTGCCTTTGGCTTCATGCCAACTTTCCCTAGGCCTCCCCAGTGCTCCGCCTCCACACTCAATATCTTCCCTAAAAGGGGCCAGCTGCCTGGCTCCACAGCAGGAGTGGTGCTGGAAAGTGCTGGGGGCAGAGGGTAGCCCTGTGACCTCCACCATGGATTCAGGCTCACCCTATCCAATAGATCCTGCCTACATGGTCTCAGGGGCCTCAATTGTCTCCTACCTCAGGTGGGGAACAGGGCCTATCCTCCCCAGCCTCAACCAGCCTGATCTACTTTTTTTTTTGCTGTACTGGGGTTTGAACTCAGGGTCTACATCTTGAGCCACTTCACCAGCCCTTTTTTTGTAATAGGTATTTTTGAGATAGAGTCTTGTGAACTATTTGTCCAGGCTGGCTTTGAACTGCAACCCTCCTGATCTCTGCTGCCTAAGTAGCTAAGATTACAGGCGTGAGCCACAAACACCCTACTCTATCTCATGCAAAAAGAAGCCTCAAGTCTGGCTACTACAACTGGGTAGCCGGGTGGTATCTGGACCTCCCTGGGCTCCAGAGAACCCAGAGCTTTAGATAGACCCCCAGAATTCAGCCCCCACCTTCCACCCTCCAGGCCACACCCTCCCAGCACCCCAAATGCACCTTCAACCTTGAGGGCATCCCAGGCATGGCCCACAGCCTCCCAGGGTGAAGGGATGTCCAGGAAGACAGCATCGGCCACATGGCTCACGCCGAAGCCGCTGCGGCATACGTCCTGGGTGCGCACAGTCACCCAGTGGCCCACGCGATGCTCCTGGAACTCCTCCCGGGCCTTGTCTGCCCGCTGCTGGTGGAACTCCACTGTGTGCAGGTGGCCCGTGGGGGCAATGCTGCGGATAATGGCATGGGACACAGAACCGCTGCCGGTGCCTGGTGGGATGAAACAGGACAGGCACCAGGGAGTCACTTAGGGCTCACAGTCCCCCAGGAAACAGTTTCCTTGTCATCTGGAGGAGCACATAAAGGGCCCAAGAGGTCAGCTGATCCCAGGGGCACAGTTGGGCTTCACTCCACAAGTCACCTGTCTGTTCCTCGCAGCCTTGGTACTGGGTTTGGGATGCTGGGCTGGAGCTGATTGGCCAAACAGGAAGAGATCTGGGCAGAGATAACTTTGGCCTGTCCTACTCTCAGCCCTGACACCTTCCCTGCAGTGGTTGATCCCTGGGTCCTGTTGACAGCTGCCCACCTTGTTCCCTACCTACTCCCTCAAGCAACTTGGTTCCCTCAGGTCACTCTATCCACCTAACTCTCCCGAATCTACCCCTACCCTATGCAGAGGGTTGCTCTGCCCTGGCTTTGGTCAACCTCCTGTGGCATGCAGCCCACCTGCCACTCAGCCTTACTCTTCCCCCAGTGTCACCTATTTCCCCCACCAGGCTGCCACTCTTAATCAGCTTCCCTCAGCACCATCCTTCACTTGACTTCATATCCCACATCCTCCTTCACCTTCACAACCACCCTACCACTGCTCCATATACCACCTACTTGATGGCGACTCGCAGCCCTGTGTCCCACCCCCCAGACTCCTGCTGTAGCATCCACTGCACTCGCCAACCCAACAACCAACGGCACCCAACACTAAGTATAAAACCCAGCCCTGGTCCACTCCCTGTGAAGGCTTCCAGAACCCAAGCAATGACACCCAGTGCTTGGACCAAATACATGGAGGTACCCTCACTTCCCACTTTGACACCCCATCTCTAATCCACCAGGGACTCCTGCCACCTGCTTCCCAATCTTGCTAAGGCCAACCCTTCTTCTATCAGTACCCCTTGTCTGCCAGACCCCTTCCTCTGGATTCCCTGCAGCAGCTGCCTTCAGTCCTGTCTCCACACAGCTATTATTGCCTTTTCCACCCTCAGTCAGACACCTCCCCTTCCACTCAGGGGAGAGTCAGACTCCTGACAGTCCTCCAAAGGCATCCCTGTTACCTCTCAACCTTATTTCAGGCTCCTCTGCTCTCCCTCCCTGCTCCAGCCATACTGATCTCCTTGCTGATCTGACCTGATAGCATGCTCCCACCCCAGGTCATTTGCCTGGCTCTCCCTTGGCTCTGAGTACCTTCTCATTTTCAGCTCAAACATCATCTCCTTAAAGGTCTTCCCTGACAACCCTAGCTTGGGAGACTCTTATAAGGTCTTGGGGACCCCTCAAACATTGCAGCCCTATCTTACAAGAGTCCCCACAACTGACAGCATTAAAATGGCCACCCAGGCTCAGTGCCCATTCTGTTTCTCAAAGGCGGGAACCTGATCCTGCATGAGTATAAAAGCTGCTCACTGACCCAGAAGGGTGAAGGCCTGAGGTAGGGGGCACCTAGCTCAGGGTGCACACAGGGAGATGATGGAGCCAGCTCCACACTCCTGTACCCCTGTAGAAGAAGGCTGGGTACTCTTTATGACCCCAGATCCCAGCAGCCTAGTCCATGAGGAATATGCCACCAGGAATGTACCCACATGTGGGTGGGCTTGGAGTAATTTTTGGCAGGGCTGCAGGGCTTGATCACCACCCCAAGCAGCCCTAGCATCTGTAAGGGTGGAGTGAAAACAGCTAGCTCTCCAACACTGTTGCTCCTAGGCCCTGGCTCAGCAACAATGGAGTCAGTTTCTTGGAGGTAGGCGAGGGCCTGGCTGGGATGAGTGTGGGGCAGTCTCCCCACTATAATGAGCTCCTATCCCTCCCTTCAAGAAGGGACAACTCTCCACAGCTCCAGCAGCACAGGGATAAGGGAGGAGCAGTCAGCACCTTGGCCAGCACCAAGCAACACTTGCCCCGCCCCACCATGGCAGGCAGGACCCTCTCTGGGGTGCCACTCCCTCCTCCTCCTGAGGTACTACAGGTCCAGTTCCCAACACCTGTCACTCCACCAGCCAGCCAGGCTTCTCTGCTTTCACCCTCACTCTCTTCGGTCACCCATAGAGCAGTTACTAATAGAAACTGAGTAATGCACAAATGTATGCAAAAAGGGTAGGTTTCAGATTGTCTGGAACTTGGGGCTGACCTTCAAGTCAGTTTTTCAGTTAGAATTAAAGCAGCCTGAAGAACTCACCAGACTCACAGACCACAGAGCCAGGCCGCAGCTCCAGCATCATTGTGAGAAGGGCAATGTCGGTGGAGTAGAGAATCTGTGTGCGGTGTGGCAGGTTCAGCGTCCAGAGCTCAGGTGTGGGGTGCAGCACGTACACCCAGCCACCACGACTGCAGATCACTTTAGAGCCGAAGGGGCGCCCGATGAGATCCACTGAGTGCCGCAAGACGCCATGCCGGGTCTGGGTCTGTGCCCCACGCTGCACACGCACTGCCACCATTGAACCATGGCCCAGAGACAGAATGGCCGTGTCGCCCTCCTTGATCAGTTCCTCATATGCCACAAAGCTCATGGTATTAACGTCTGCCAAGTGCCAGGGACCTGGAGAGGGGTGTACGGGCATGAGGTCAGGGGACCAGGAGATAGGATGTGGATCTGGCGTCTGTGCGGCCCGGATACTGGGCAGTGGGGGTAAGAGTGACTGGCTGGCTGAAGCCCACTGGCCCTGCTTAGCAGGCAGCTCAACAGGCCTGCACTCTAGCCTAACATTTGAAGACCTTGGTTTGGAAGGAGAGACGGGATATGAGCCCAAATCAGAGATTGAAATACTGAAGCTAGGCAATGGCAGAGGCGGGACCCAAGAATTCCCACATGAGGAATCCTTCTGAGGAAAGAGCCTAGTTCCATTCCCCAACTGTGTGATAAATAGGCGGCCTTTGTGAGGCGGCCACCAGTGGTGGGACAGGCAAATTGTCAGTGAGGACACCTCCAAGCCCGGTCTGATTCGCGGAGCCCCTCCCCAATATCCCCAAAGCGAGCTCTGAGCGGGTACGCGGCAGTGGAATGCACCAGGGGAAAGGGCTCGCAAGCAGGTCAGGTCTGGGGCCGCGAGCGGAAATGTAGGGCAGCCTGAGGAAAGTTCGGAAGACCCGAACCCACGCTCCAAGCCTCACCCGCTGCTCGCCGGCTCCCGGGGCTCCACACGTGGCTTCGCGGCGCTCAGTAGCGAAGGCCACCACACTTCCGGTGCGCGCTGATGACGTCACGACACGCCCCGGCGCGGGGCATCCTGGGAGTGGCCGCGCTGCCCTTCTCGCGCTCCGAGAGGACGTTTCCTAGTCAGCATCTCCGCGGCTGCGGTCCTCTGTGCATACTTGAGCGTTGCCTAAGAGAAGCGAGGACAGGGCAAAATAAAAGTCCCCGCCCCGCCTGCAGCGACGTGCGGCCTTTTATGTTTGCCCGGTACACGGGCTTTTGCCGGAGGGGCCGGCCTGGTCCTGAAGCCCCCTTTCACATCACTGCGACCCTATTATCAGGGCTCAGCAGGTCACTTTGCTGTAGACATTTTGTTCTTGCAAACAACTCCGGAAACTCCAAGGGCCCCAGGATGAAGCCACAAAGTGGAATTGCAGGGCTGAGGGGGGTTGGGTGTCCAAGTGTTATGCCAGAGTCAGCCGGAGTGCAGGGGAGGGTGGTCTAGAACTGCCTGCACGGCGGCCCCTAGGCTGGACCCTGCCTCCCTCGCGCGCAGGGCAGCTGGGGCGGAGGGGAGGAGAGGGGGCTGGGGTCCCCTCCTGGGACCCCAGGCACACCGTGAGAGCTGGGTAAGCTGGGTTCACTTGGGGCCTGAGCAGGGGCCTGGGGGAGGGGTGACTGGAGGAAGGGCAGAAAAGAGAAGCGGGAGTGGTGCGTTCTGTCTTAGCAGGGCTGATTCAGAGCCCGTGAGCTCCTCGTGGAGGTTCCTCGGAAGTGAATGTGCAGGCCGAGGGTGGGGGCAGGGAGGTGCATGGAGTGTCTTCTTCTAGCCCTCAGCTCCCAGGAATAGAGTGGGTAAAGGCCTCCCAGACTACCCAACTACCCCAGGAACCCAGACCAGCTAGGAAGTCCCCTGATCCACACTCCCAAGCCCCCAGGCTACTTTAGCCTGGTATGATGAGGTTGGCCAGGCTCCTTGCAGAGCCAGCTCCTTCCCAGAGCCCTGCCGGCCTGTGAGGCACCCTGAACTCTCCCTCCTCTGGGGCCAGACTAGGCCAGATGCGCAGTGCCTTTGCCATAGGATCCTCAGGGTCCCATCTTGGAAACTCAGAAGTCTGACCCCAGCACTCTTCATATCCTTGTCCCCGCGGGCCTCGTATCTGCGGACCCCAGGAGTTTAGACAGCAAGGAAATGTCAGTGGTCTCCCACTCTGTGGGCTCATGTTCCTGTGGGATCCCAGCTCTCAACCCTGAGACACTTCAGTCCCATGCACAGCCCTCCCACCTCTTCTAATAGGCTGCTTCACTCCCTTGATTGCTGCTTGCCTGAATCACCTCCTAATTGCTCCCCTGTGGGGGGTGGGGGAGTGGGGATGTTAGACTTTCCATTCCTTCTGGGGGTTCCTTCCTCTTCCCCAGCCTCTCACTTCTGCTAGAAAGGTGGGAGCCCTGCACCTGCTCTGCTCTGAGCCTGTTAGGACTTGGTGACTCAGTGGGGATTTCCCTGGGTCCCAACTTTAACTTGACTCTGTGTCCACTACTGGCTGACCAACCCCTCCAAGCTTCCTTCTCAGAGCTGCCCATCCATCCTGTATGAGCCTGCCCCAGTCAACAGCCTAAGTCCTCCAGCAGACCAGTCTTCTCCACACCCCAGCAGATCACCTGGGTGGGCCCCTTTCCCTGAGCACAGTTTATACATTGGAGTTCTCCTAACAAAAACTGATGCCATATATGCCCAGCTAAGTGGCAGCTTACTGAATTCCCCCACAATCCTATGGTGGGGGACATTTTTTTTTTTTTTTTGGCGGCACGGGTTTGAACTTAGAACCTCACAGTTGCTAGGCAGGTACTCTTACTGCTTGAGCCACTCCACCATCACTTTTTTGGGGGTGGGTTTTTCTTCCAGATAGGGTCTTGCAAACTATTTGCTCAGGGCTGCCATCCTCCTGATCTTTGTCTCCTGACCAGCTAGGATTATAGATTGGGCCGCTGTGCCAGGCTCAGTGGGGGAACTTCATAGATGGGGAAACAGATTAGGAAATTGGCCTAATATCACACAGCTAACATGGTCAAAATGAGATTGGGATTTAAAACTATAAACCTGGCTTCAGATAACTGATAGCACACGCGAAGAAAGAGGGAACAGAAGGAGGCCTTGGAGAAAGAAGTTAGGGAGGCCACTAGAGGAAGCTGCTTCACTTGCACCCCTCGCGGGGACTGTGCGACTGAGGTTCCTCCTGCCTGACCCACAGGCCTCCTACTGCATCCTTTCCTGCAACCATAAGCCAGCCCCTGCTCCTCCTCCTGACCCCAACAGACTTCCTCTTTGCATTCTACAGAGCTCAGGAACAAGGGCACAGTGAGGAAGCACTGCATGCAGGCTTTTTCTGAGGATGACCTTGGTGCGTGGCCTGGAGCCTGGTCCTGTTTGTGCCTGCCTCTGCTCCATTCAGCTGGGCCATACTCTGAATAAAAGGCCTGTAACTCTTTGAGGCCCCTTCCAGGCCTTGTGGTTAATGTGTTACTAGGTGTGATCTCTAAGGAACCTGGGCCACAAACTGGCTGGGTGATGTCACCCAGCTTCTAGCCTAGACCTGCCAAACCAGCTCCTGTGCACCCCGGGGATGGAAGAGGGCCAGCAGCGGAGGGCCACTCTGGTCTCCAGCTGAGGGGAGGCCTCCTCCAGTACTCTGCCTTGTCCCCCTGCTCTGGGAACCACCAAGGTTCCATCCACCGGAGGGGAAGGGGAGGGTTCATCCTGACAATTTGGTGCCAAGCCGCAAAGACCTCTTCCCTCTTCCTCCCTGTTGCTACCCCCATCATAGCTGTGTGACCACCCTGCACCATGGGTCTGCATGAGTACCAAGGGTGGGCACCCTGACATCATTGAAGGACAGCTGAACCTGTCACCTCATTGCTGATTTTCCTCTGTGTATTTGTAGAATGGAACAAAAATACCTGTTGCAGAAGGCTGAGAGCTGAGGGTTTCAGAGGCCTCAGGCAAGAGGTCTTCCTGTGCTGGGCGGGTGCTCACTGCTGGGGTAGGCAGCCCTGCTGTTCTGCCCTCTGACCCTACCTCTGCTACCCCCACCTTGCTTGTGGAGGGAGGGGTGGCCCAGGAAGAGGGAAGGGAATGAGTGGCTCAGAAGCTGCCAGGGCTCACCCTGGGTGCTAAGCCTCCTCATGGCAGGGGCTCATTGTGCAATGGGTGGAAGGATTTTTCTGACATACACAGAGAAATGAAGGTCTCCTTTGTCCAAGCAGAAACTTGAGTGCTCCAGGCTGGGATGTAGCTCAATGGTGCTTGCCTAGCATGCACAAGGCCCTGGATTAAATCCTCAGCACCAAAACAGAAAAGATCACACACACACACACACACACACACACACACACACACACACAGAAAGAGAAGAGAGAGAGAGAGAGAAACTTGAGCACTCCAAGCCTTTGGAGGCAGTGACAGGGTGGGCAGCTGCAAATATTTCTAAAATGGGAAAGGGGCTACAAGGGGCACAGAGTGCAGGAATTCTAGGCTTAAGGGACACCTGCTGTCTGGCCAGCCGGATGAGCCATTTGCCTTTCACATTGGTTTTATTGCTCTTAGAAATGCTGACTTGGAACAGGTTGAAGCAGACCAAGGTAGTGATCAAGGAGGCAGAGTCCCTCTGTGGTAACTATGCAGACGGGACAGTGGGCAGCCCAACCCTTCCACGCACACACAGGCAGAGGCCAAGGGCTGCCTGCCCTTTGTGTCCTTGTTCCAGTATGTCCTTGCTCTCCTCAGAGACACCTGTCTATTGTTTCTTGAGCCTGGAATTCCTGTGTTTTTACCCCAACCCAAGCATTTATGTCCTGCTGTTATTTGACTCATTTGGCCACTTGTTCACTTGCAATCTGCCTCCAGTAGCAGAGCTAGGACCCTTTCCCCTTGCTTTCTCTATCCCCCTAATGCCTGGTACTTAGCAGTGACTCATTGTACAATGGTTGGAGGGATTTTACCAAATACACAGAGATGAGGATGGTCCCTTCTCCTTGCTTTAGTCAGACAGCAACTTGTGAGGGGCTGGGTATGGACATTAATCACACAACCTCTTTTTAACAACTGAATAATATTCCACAGTAGGGAGTGAGATGCCTTTCTACCAGTGGCCAGCCCTCCAGCGATGAGCACTGGGTCCTATCTGGGTTTGTGCCTGTTTTCCCCTCTACATATCTCTTGGTCTATCCGCAGAGATAATGGACACTGTCTTCTACAGGTTAGATTCCTAGAAATGGGATTGCTGGGTCATGGAGTTTGAACATTTTAAATTTTAATAGATACTGCCAAATTACTTTCCAAAAATGATGTAGCGACTCACAGCTACAGGCAGGGTGTGAAAAGCGGTCTCCATGCCTTCCAACTCACAGCCAGCACTGGCTGGGGTCAGTCTTTCACACTTTGCTAACCTGGGTGTGCGGGGTAGGTGAAGATGTATTCATTGCTTTAATTTGCATGATTTGATTAGTGAGATAATCATTTTAAAATCTAGCATATGCTGTGGTTGATTAGCCTTCCCTCCTATCTTTGCCAGGTGTCTCTGGGTACTGCCTTTGGGGGGTGGGGCGATAGGACCCTTCCCTCGAGGAGAGGGCTCCAGGGTTGGAGTTTGGAAACTCGCCAGCAACCTCTTAGGGAATACTATCCCGTTAGCTATCAGGAGGGACTGGGCCTGAGGGTCCTGGCAGGGTTCCCTAGAGCCCCAGGGCTCGCCCAAGGTCAGGCACCGTGGGTGCTGCTAGGCTAGGCTGGGCAGAAGCCAGACTGCACCTCCTGCGCTGCACCAAGAACACCCAGGAAATGCCCGCGGGCACCTTGAGGAAGGTCGGTGGCTCTGTGCCAGTCCGGCGGGCCGGGGTGGGGTGGGTGGAGGCAGTTCTTGCTGCGGAAGGTCCTAAAGCTATCGCCTGGGCTCTCGCCACTGCCCCCTGGGGCACTAGCCACACTAGAGACGTCTGAAAGTGCCGGGTGGTTTCCAGGCCTCAGTTTCCCTCCTGGAGACAGTATGTGTCAG